TCTTAAAGGGTTTAGGGTTAAAGTAAGAGAGAATGAGAACGAAACTGAGTAATTACATAACAACCAGAAAACAAATTGAACATGCCCTCGCTAATGATCAAAAGACAAAGTTCTATTGGTTTTTCACTATTATGCAATTCACATAAATTTCTATATATATATCCTAAAATTAAACTATTTAGATTATATTCTAAGGGTTGATTTGAGGTGAGGGAATGATAAATTTTAATGGTCAAATTACATAACAGTGAAAAGACAAGTTAAACACGCCAAACTATTTCGATTAATTTTCACTATTACGTCATTCACTTAAGTTTTGATAATTAATCCGACAAATTAAAATCTCACCTAGACTAGTTAGATTAGATACAACTAATGAGTTACTTATAAGATCTAAAAGGTTTGGGATGAGGTGCGAGAGAATGAGAAATTTTAATGGGTCAAATCAATTAGAAACTAAGTGATTACATAACAGTTAAACATGCCATCGCTAACGATACAAAGACGGGACATCATGTTCGGTTAGTTTTCACTGTTAGGTTCACTTAAGTTTCGATCATTAATCAAACAAATTAAAATTTCTCTCCTAAACTGTTTAGATTAGATATAATGTGTTACTAATAAGATCTAAAAGGTTTGGGTTGAGGTGAGGTGCGAGAGAATGAGAAATTTTGATAATCAAATCAATTTGAAGAAACTAAACACGCCATCGCTAACGATACAAAAGACGGGACGCCATGTTTGGTTAGTTTTCATTGTTACGTAATTCACTTAAGTTTCGATAATTAATCCGACAAATTAAAATCTCTCTCCTAGACTATTTAGATTAGATACACAACTAATGTGTTATTAATAAGATTTAAAAGGTTGGGTTGAGGTGCGAAAGAATGAGAAATTTTATTGGTCGAATCAATTAGAAACTAAGTGATTACATAATAGTGAAAAGACAAGTTAAACACGCCATCGCTAACGATACAAAGACGGGACGTCATGTTCGGTTAGTTTTCACTATTAGGTAATTCACTTAAGCTTCGATAATTAATCCGACAAATTAAAATCTCTCTCCCAAAAACTTGGGATCGTGGAGATTGTGAATGTGTATTGTGTAAGTTATGCCTACATACTACCTAAAGCCTAGATACATTTCATACGCCACCTATCCTATACATACATCTATACAACAAGCATATAGTAAAACAAAAGAGACATGATTCTACAATTGACATTAAGAGTTTGGGAAGAGAAGTATCACCTCTGCTCCACAAGTGTTGGCTTTGTTCTGTTTGTGACTCTGCTTTTTTTCTTGAATGTGCTGCTTTAACAAAACAAAACCCATGTGTGACTCGTCAATTAAATACTAGCAGCCACAAATCTAAAACCATGAGAGATTGAGTTAAAGC